AACATAATTTATCAAACCCTTCCGAATAGAACTACAACGATAATTTTATATAATTATCAGGTATTGTAATATGTGATCAAAACAGAAGTAAGCTTATCTTTAAAGCCACACCTTTGTTCTTTGTCTTCAATAACCTCTTTATCTTGAAAAAAATCTTCTCTAATATTGAGCTGCTACGATATTGACTAAAACATGCCCTTCACTTGGAAGATTTCTAGTTTGGGTTGATATTCATATACAACGAATACAATAGCATATGTATATAGCCTAAGGGTAAGACTAGGGCTGCGGACCGGTACACTGTACCGGTCCAATACCGTAAAAATCGTTTCGGTACAGGTCCAAAATACCGGATCATGAAGTAACGAGTATATACCGAAATAGCTAGTTTACACCATGTATATGACTAAAGATAGGTAAATCCTACCACAAAGACGAAAAATTAGCACTGGAAAAGACGTAAACACCGTCGATTGATTTGAGATCCTCAGTCTCACGAGACATCGCGAGAGTGTGGCTGATCCAGGGTTGTGATTGGAAGATACTGACAAGTTGTCAACACTTTATTATTGTTTGTGTCATGATTGAAAAAGTGAAGAACACGTGTTAATTTGTCAAATTGTTCAGGTACAGGTACAGGTCCGGACCTGTACCTAAACCTCTGTACCGGTACTTGTACCTGTACCTGATGTTGCGTTTAGGTACGCAGCCCTACTTTAGACAAACCTTCGATTATAAAACACATCTGTACTTATATCTACATCGTTACTAAGAAGCGAGAAGAAGCCAAATTATCGTAATTATTAGACTATATGTCCATAGTACATAGAATTAGCACTAGCTTGTACATTGTATATATTCATCGCAAGCTGTGACGTCTTTCCTGTGACCTGTACTGAACCCGGTGGGTATTTGCGTACAATAAAGGTCTTCTTCACTTCACTTCACTATTATATAAACCAGTCCGGACTGAACCACTTTCCCACCAACTCTGAGGTGCTGGGACGGGTAGCTGGCAGCGAAACATTAAGCAGCCACGCCCAGAAAACGTTATAATGCTATTCTCAGACATTTGCTCCAAGATTGAATAAATGGAAGAACTTTAATGCACGACAATTGCACATGGTACAATGCATGGCAAACTACATAAAGAGAGTAACAACAATAAAATGTGTTGAATAAGACCTAATGTCGAATAAAACCTAACAAATCTATATCATAATCATTCAAATAATAAGGGATATCACAAGTCTTTGAAAGTGTTACAATCGAGTGGGCTAATCACAAGTTCCGGTATTTTTTCTAATAGCAAAGCATTCCTTTATATATCTACCTATTTTTGCGTTGTGGGGACCATTACATGTAAAGATATATTCAAATCTGTCTCCAACATCGAGACTCTTAAAATCTATGGTACTTGATTCGAGAAATGTAAATAGCTTGTTACGTATAACATCATATTTGGTACATTCCATAACAAAATGAAATTCATTTTCTATATGCTTTGGACAAAATGGACAGAACCTTTGGTCAGGGGCTATATTGTAATATTTACCTGTTTCAATATTCAATTTATGGCTACTGATTCTTAATTGAGTTATTGCTTTACGAAGTTATCTATATCACAAAGGTATGTTTCTTGTTCATAAATACCTTGTCATAGTTAGCGGCCCAGGTCTTGTAGAAATCCTGAGACTCCTCCTGAGACACCCCAGGTCGTTGTACGTTACGAATGCCGGCGCTGCGACTATCAACAGCCATTGTATTGCGGGGGACTCTGAAACTGGAAACATAAATTTTTTATGTTCAGAGCGTTTTGCGCCTGAGGTCACAACACCTAACGTCGTCTACATGCATATTATTTATTTATCCATCTTAAAATAAATCTTAGAGTTATCTTTCCCATGCAATCTGCACATACATAGGAAGGACAGAAGAATAAATATTTTTAAAATCTGCTTAAAATGTGTGACATTTGACATAATTTAATATTTGACCTGTTATTGACCTCGAAATACTTCTTTACTGGGTGGACTGACCCACTTTGCCAGGGGGTGAAATCGCTGTATCATTTCTATATTTTGCTCATCAAAACGCCGGTGTCGACCTTCCACTATCTGTACCTAAAGAAGCCTGACAATTCCAGCTTTGCAGTGGGGAAATGCGGAAATGGGAAAAGGTACATGAGTTTTGAGATACTTATTTCTAGTGGTTTTACAATAGAATTCCAATGGATCTGAACCATGCCCTTTGGGCATATTTATACGGCAATGCCCTATTTGTTCACTGTCCCAGATCAAAACGAGTCTACAAATTTTATGTATGTCTGTGAAGATGACTCCTTTTCTATCAAATAAAAGTCATTCCACTCTTTCTTTTTCTGTATGCTGTTTTTTTATGGAGGTAATTTCACTAGTTCCAAAGATTCCACTAGCCTCCGTAGAAGGCTTAACTGGGGGTTTGGTGGTCTTCGGTTGTTTTCTGATTAGCCCAGTTCTAACGGGGGTAATACAACCAGGCCGGCTATGTTGTCTATATGATATCAGAAAATAGCACATAAAAGACCCCCAAAACCCACAGCTTTTGGCATGCTATGCATGGAGGCTAAGATTCCACACCACCCCTTTCATGTACATGTATTTTTGTTGAAGTCAGGTTTGTTTTATTTTTTTTTTTCATTTTCCCCAAGTCTTGTGCCGATGAGTAACAAAGGTCATTCATACTCAAGCTTGGTATGTTGTAATTAAGAATAATAATAATGGTTTATTCAAATATTAACATATATACAATACATACTGACAGTCCCACCTGGCAGCCTGAATTTAAACCAAACTATCAAACAAGAGTTCAAAGATCTCATAACCGCAGTGTTATGAGCTTTCGTAGTTTTGAAATTCTGTCTCATTGATTATGGAAATAGACTATATGAATCGAATCGAAAATTAGTTATTTGAATACCAACTTACTCCCGAACATCAGCCAAATAACCTTTGCTGAACCTCTTGTCCACACCCGAATGTTTTAAACCTCTTGATATATTCGGCTGGCGCGGCAGAACTTAAGCCGATCTGGGCCGAACACCAGCCGACCTTGCTCTCAACCTATTCACAACCAACTACCAATGTTTGGGAGGCGTTCGGCTAGTGTTCAGGAGGCCAAACCCGTGCATATGTGACAGCTGGCCCATGTATTTGTGAATCCCAATGATATTCCCTTTGTTGATGATGGTCAGGGTACCTTATGGCGTGGAGAAAAGGCGGAATTTTCCTTGCTAATATGTCGTTTTTTATGTTTATTATCATATGTTAGATCAGTGGATTCATCTAAAATGGCACCTGATTTCTTATGTCACGCCTCTGAGTACCATGACTGATTTCGCCGTGTCAAAGTGGTCGCCCCCGAAAAAGCCTTAGAAATCTCCTTCCCTGTCATGATATCTAAGGCAACATTTCAACATTTCCTAGGTAGATAGTAAGAAGAAATTGTATTCTAAAACGTTCTTCGACATGGAAATGACTACAGAAACATCCTACCTTGAGACAGGCTCGCTCGCGCTCACGGTGTCACCAGGTCACCAGGTAAAGAATGCGTTTGAAAGATATGCCCCTCCCCTCCCTCCCATAAAAAAGTCGCCAAACTTGTTTCTGTCACGCCCCAGGCATGAAGCAAGCCGGACGAGGTTAAACACAACAGACTTTTGTCATGTTGTGGGCGCGAAGTCGGTCACCCTTTTATGTAGGTTCTGACTGACCCTCTGCTGGCTGCTAAAGCCTAGGTCACAATTGAAGAAAGGGGCCCGCTCGGCGCGTGTTCGGCCTGTTTTTTTGGCACTACCGTACGATTTCGATGTTGACGTTCCTCATTGTAGTCTCTCACTCTCGGTGGGTTCGTCGGTGGCTGATGAGGCCTATTCTCGCAGCCAGTGCACGTCCGCACACCTCGCAGATGAACTGGCCCTGCTGCTGAGCTGGCTTGTGACGTCTCGCTTTGCTGGCCTCCGCCTTTTGGTCGTATCTGGATGTGTATAGCTCAGCAGCTGTCGAGCATGTCTGTCTCTAGCGGTTTCTGTCAGCTGCTAGTTGTTCTAGGCTTTGTGGCTCGATGCCGCAGGACTTAAGGTTGCTTTTCAGGTGGTCCTTATACCTCTTTCGCAGGCCACCTACGGAGAGTTTGCCTGTGGTGAGCTCACCATAAAGTATGTGCCTTGGTAGTCGATTTACAGGCATACGGATGACAATACGATTATAATAGACACGTTTGAAGAGATAAAGATAAGGTTACCCTAGTTTTTACCTCCATGAAAAATGGAGGTATTGTTTTTGGCGTGTCTGTCTGTATGTATGTATGTATGTGTGTGTGTCTGTCTGTCTGTCTGTCTGTCTGTGTTTCCGCAACTTTGTGGTCAGCATAACTTCAGAACGCCTTTATGGATTATGATGATATTTGGTATGTTAGTTAGTCTTAGGAAGACAAACGTCAAGGTCAAATATGGGCCTCCTGGTGGATGACCTTGGTACTGCAGCAGAACTTCCGGTTTTTGTATCTTTTGTCCTGAACATGCTATGGTCTTGATGTTTTGGTGACAGATTGCTTTTCCTGTCAGGAATAAGTGGTGTGAGTTTGGTCCCCCTAGCAGCTTGTTTTGGAACTGCAGGGAACTTTCTGGCGAAATGTTTAAAAGCCAATAAGTCCAGATAGGAACAACATATTTTCATAATTTTTGGTGTGTAGGTAGCTAAGAGAGAGATGTACATGATTAAATGCAAATTATGCAAATGAGGACTTTATTTGCATAATTAATGAGGAAATTCTATGATTACAGTGTTTTACATTATACTACTTTCATACATGTAATGTATGTAACCTATGGCAGGCAGAACATCAACAGATACTAATTATGCACATTATGACCTAATTTGCATAATTTATGCAAAAATTCTATGATTTCTTAATGGTGAATAATGGGAATGTCATACTTTGGACATCTGTAAGTTAATCAAAAGTTAACATACATCACGATGCATATATCATGTAAATGCGGAGGTAATTTGCATAATTAAAGAGGAAATTTACATTTACATATCAAGCCCATATTTCATGGAGGTATGAAATCTCGGAATTCTTGTTAGATCTGGATTGTTGCAAGTTAGTAAAAGTCGCTTAGATGGACTTCAAGTGATTGGACCTAGTCCGCCAAGAAGCGACAAAAAAAAAACTTAATTTTTGTGCTCTAGAACGCTGATGCTTTCTTTAGCTCTCCATACTTGTACATTTGGAGACATCGTCTAACCTAACCGACCCCCGCCCTCGACACACACAAACTCACACATAATCTTTTTTTTTTTCAATAATGTAGCCCATCTGTTGTACTTATTTTCAATCCAAAATTTGAACAAGACTCTGTAGTCTCATTAGCGTCTATCAAGAATGGCCCTCTAGAAGATGCCACATGTCACGTTATGTACATGTACGGTTGAGGGGCCTTCATGCAGATCGAGGTTTGGTGCGAATAATCCAAGAGATCATGGAGTGGGGAGTTATCTAAATCTACACATGACCGCATGTTAAGATAGGCGATAAATAGACTCTCCGTAAGTACTTGCTTTTTTCCAATAATTGTATTCAAGAAAATGGAATAACTATACAAATAGACAAAAGGTATATGGAATACAATAAGCTACATAAAAACCAAGATGGCACGTTCAGTCTTGAAAAATAATACATGTCTTTTCTATGGTTTAATCAAAACTAAAATACTACATAGCACTGAACCGAGAATAAATTGAATTATAATTGTTGATACATGTAGATTAACAACAAAGGCCAAAAGAAATAATTAATTCGAAAATTTTACAGTAGGAGTGATTTATTTAGACTCCTGTCACCATACATGTGAATATATTGAGTGCGAATTAACATAGCAGACCACATAATGCGAAAGTAAACTAATTTACTAAATTGCATTATGCATTTGATTTGCAAAAAATTAACTTCCTAGTTGTTGTATCTTTTACTTTGATGCAGTGAAGTATTTGATTCCTTTTACATGTGATGGTTGTGTATATGTGATGTTCCAATTGGATCAAAATTGTACCACAATGATTGCAACCTTATTTTTCAAAGTTGATTCAGTGACAAATAGATGTTGTAATTATATTTGGGAATAAACCTAGCGTAAACAAGGTTATGATGTCAAAATTTAGAAATGTATCGTAGGAATCTTTTTTTTTTTTTTGGCTCGCTTTGTTTTTTTCTTTCGCATTAGATTCGTCTAGATAGAATGTCAACTATAAAACTTTACTCACTGTGACCTTAGAAAGTTTATTGCAAGTCGTTTTCTGTTCGAAGACTAATTGCAAAGGACATAGATAAAAGATCAGTGAAACAGAGTACAAAATAATTGTGAAAATGGCTAAATAAATCTACATTTGATTTGTACATATAATAATAAAGGCAATTGTCTTGAACTATGTATAAAGGATTTCACTTCACTTTTGTAAATCATAGAAAATGTAATGTCCCATCTTTCCCAACAAATTACAGAGAAGGGAGGACCGAGAAGTGGGATGTAGTGAGCATTCTTAAAATAAAAAGAAGCACAAGAATCTGGTGCCTGAGCATTTTTCAACGTTGTAAAATGTGCATATTATGCTTCGAAGAGTTACGAACTGTTTCTCCCCAGAACTCCGAGGCTTTTCAAAAGAGCTTATCTATTTTAATATGAAGTAACAGAAGTGGCTTGATTTTATCTTATTGTTTTTAATGATATATGTTCCGACTTGTTTCAACTGCGTTTAAAATATGTTCTGTTATCTTTGTGTAATTTGCTCTATATGATCCCGTTATCATTTAAGTACGATTTTAATGGAAGAATTAACAAATTTCAAGCTATCATGCAATGCTGTATGTGACATGCATGTTGATTACAATAAATCTGAATCTTGAATCTAAAGGAATGTTAAGTCAGGTCAGATTGGTCGTACACATGTATTTGGTACAGACACCCCCATCCTCGCAGGTTCGTACAAAATACTATTGAACGTAAAGTCGCTCTACTTGGTGATGTGGGGAAAATCAAGGGCAGAAGACAATTGGTCCCGGTGTGAAAATAAATGGTCGTTTTGGTAATAATAAAGGTAATTACTACTTGTCCCTGTTACATCGTAGAAAAATGCTAATGATGACGAGGCCGACAGAGACTATTGTCATGTTACAGCCAAAGTCTGCTTCTTTATTAGTTTCTAATTATATATGCTGAACATATTTGCTGGATAGATTACATTGTAGAATTTGATTTTTTTAGTCAGCTCATACTCTTCGCGCCTACGATATCAGGGATATCGCGGCCAAAACATACGGAACAAAGTCACGTTTCCGGTTATTTACTGCGCACTTACTTACTAATAGGCTCTGGTCAGATTTAAACTCCGACCCGGAACCAGAACAAAAGCTGTGTTCTTGAACTTTAACCTTCGGTGACGGCAGGTTTCGTAACCATAGGCAGACTTCATTTCGTGCAGAAGATTCTGTGGCGGGCCAGAACTGGGCTCTAACATGATAACATTGCCGTCCGATTGTGCCTTACAGCTGGTAGGTGGGAATACATTCACTGTACACACTCCAAATCTCCGAGGAATGTTTGCAACGCTGAATTTGATAGACGGTCACTAGACCCATTATACAAAGCTTATTCTTGTACTACCGAACATGGTCTGTCACAGTCAAACTGATGACTGTTTGAAAAGACTAGAAAAATTTCGAACGCTTAGTATTAGGCTTTCTTTCTCTGAGTTAAATGCTTTTCCTGGTTTCCAACTTCAGAGTGTTACACTCAAAAGCAACAAAGATATTGTTCGGAAAGGAGGCATGGGGGGGCATTCAAAGTCAGGTAGGGTGGGGTCCAAAGTACATTAACTGTTTATCTAGCAATAGGTTGCGTGAAGCAAAATAACATTGTTGCGCGGCGCAACTGGGCAAGAAGCTATGTCACACGCTCTATGTCGCTCGTTGACAGATCAATTTTAGAAATATAGTGTTTCGCAAACATTGTATTTTCTGATATTTAGGGAAATACTCCTGAAGATGGCAACAGCATCCGGAATCGTCATTCCTCAGTCTGCAGAAGACATCGCCCCCTCCTGGGTGCAGCAGGTACTGCAGAAGGACCTCCCGGGCGTCACCATCACGGACGTCCATGTCGAGGGATCCATCAGCCAAGGCGAGGGGATCACGAGCGACATCATCGCTTTTGATGCCGTGGGGATCAGGAATGGTGTTAGTCAGCGATACAGTCTCGTCGCTAAAGTGACAGATTTCAAGCGGCCGTTGACAGTAATGAAAGAGTGGTCAAAGGACGTTCAGATTCAGATCGATATTGCTGAAGTCAAGTTTTACTCGGACGTGGTCCCCGAGCTCCTCTCTCTTGCAACCCCAAGCACGGAGCGCAAAACAGGGAACGAAGAAACTCACGCTTCGACTGATTCCTTAGTGATACCAAAATGCTACTTTGCCGCCACCGATCCGAGGTCTATGGTGTCCGTCAGGGTTATGGAGAATCTGAAAACTCAGGGCTTCTCCATCAAACCCAACCGCCAGTCGCAGAGCCGTGATGAGATGATGCTTGCAGCCGGGGCCCTGGCGCAGCTACACGGCCTGTCTTATCGGCTGGAGCTCCGCTCGGGCGTCCCTCTTCCCGAGAGGAAGAGGGACTGGATCAGGTCTCTCTCTGATGTCATAGCTGGGACAATGGAAATTTTAGGGCCCATGTATCGGGAAGCCGTGAAGAAATTCGCCGCAGCCTTTCCTGGCCAGACCTCTCCAGACCTTATAGCTCGTCTGGAGAAGTTAAACATTCAGCATCCAATGATGGAGGAAAACCCGAGGCTTATGGTTCTGAGCCATGGAGATCCTTACGGCAATAACATCATGTTTAAGGTAAGACTTGGTGTCTTCTTTCCTTTCTTGATTGAATCTAAACATCAGAGGACCACAACTTTTTTCTATTAATGTTTTACAATAAAATTTATTATGATTTTTTGTCCTCAGTACGCTGAGGATGTGCTCACTGACGTGAGGCTGGTGGACTGGCAAGCTGTTTCGTACCTGCCACCGACCTATGACCTGGCGTTCTTGTTTCTTTGTAACGCGAGTTGGGACGTCTTCCACCACCACAGGGACGCCATCCTGGCTCACTATCACCACAAACTGATGGAGACCCTGGGTACAGACGGTGAGAAACCGCATTATCACTGTAAACATTTCCCAGTCAGGCCGTGTTGATTTGATTATATAGATGACATCCACGCGCGCATAAATTTCGGCCGTTCCCCCCCCCAAAAAAAAGTTTGCAATATGAGCAAATATATACCGTAAGTTGTAAAAAAAATATTTGAAAACGATACCAATGTCGTAGAATCCCAAAATCAAACGACAAAGACGAAAATGTAAAGAAACGAATTGAAGAGTTCTACATTATTCGCCAGACCATACAGTGTCATTTGCTGAACCTTCATGACCATGTAAATTTCATAAAGAAAGCAACTTTTTTTTGCTAAACTTTTATTTTTTCGTACGCTCGCATTAGTTTGGGGGTTCCCTGTCGATGTCATTCATATAATCAAATAAACATGGCCTCAAATATAAAAGGTCAATGCGTTTTAAATTTTTACTTTATTTCCCGTATGCCTTGCACAGTTATTTATATAATATTAAAATGAATTTCAAAAAGGACTGAGCAATGTATATTTTCCTTGCCTTCCAATTTCTATAGAATCCTCGGGCCTACAAAGCTACACACTGGAACAGCTGAAGGCAGACTTCAAGGAAGACTGTCCGTTTGGGGTGTTCCACTGTCTTGTACGGTTTGGGGGCCTTCATGCAGATCGAGGTTTGGTGCGAATAATCCAGGAGATCAAGGAGTGGGGAGTTATCTAAATGTACACATGACCGCATATTAATATTAGCCGATAAATAGACTCAAGAAAATGGAATAAATATACAAATACACAAAAAGTACATGGAATACAATAAGCCAACATAAAAACCAAGACGGCACATTCAGTCTTGATAAACAAAAAAAAATCATGGCTTTTCTATGGTTTAAACAAAACTATAGATACTACATAGTACTGAACAAGAACAAAATAAGTTATAATTGTTGCTACATGTATAACAACAACAAGACAAAAAGAAATGATTAATTCAAACATAATGCAATTTTATTGTAGGAGTGATTTAGACTCCTGTCACAATATATGTGAATGTGTTTGCGTAAGAATTAACAGAGCAGACCGCATAATGCAAAGGTAAACATTATGCATTTGCTTTGCAAATTTAAGTTTTCTAGTTGTTGTATCTTTTACTTTGATGCGGTGAAGAATTTAATTCCTTTTACATGTGATGGTGCCTGTGTATATGTGATGTTCCCACCGAATCAAAATTGTACAATGATTGAAAACTTAATTTTCAAAGTTGTTTCAGTGACAAATGGATGTTGTAATAGTTGGGATAAACCTTGCACAATATAGGCATCACTTCTCGTTTAACAAGGTTTATGATTTCAAAATTTGAAAATGTAGGAAGTTTTTTTGGCTCGCCTTGTTTTCTCTTTCGCCATCTCGCATTGGATTCGTCTAGAGATTACGTCAACTATAAAACTTTACTTGCTGTGGTCTTAGAAAGTTTATTGCAAGTTTCTGTTCGAAGACTAATTGCAAAGAACATACTCAGTGAAACAGAGTACCGAATAATTGTGAAAGTGGTTAATCTAAATTTGGTTTGTACATATAAGATAAAAGGCAATTGTCTGGAACTTTGTAAACCATTGAAAATGTTATGTCTCATTTTGTCCAACAAATTGCAGAGAAGGGAGGACCGAGAAGTGGGATGTAGTGAGCCTTCTTAAAATAACAGAAGCACAAGAATTTTGTGCCTGAGCATTTTTTGAAGGTGTAAAATGTGCATGTTATGCTTCTAAGCGAGACACGAACTGTCCTTTCTCCCCATAGCTCTGATGCGTTTCAAAAAGAGCTAATCTATTTTAATTAATAAAGTGACAGAAGTGGCTTGATTTTATCTTCTTGTTCTTAATGGTATATTGACCGACTTGTTTCAACTGCCTTAATTATGTTTTAAAAATGTACTGTTATCTTCGTGTAATTTGCTCTATATGATCCCGTTATCATTTTAATTTTACGATTTTAATGGAAGAATTAACAAATTTCATGTGATATCATGCAATGCTGTATGTGACATGCAAGTTGATTACAATAAATCTGAATCTTGAATCTAAAGGAATGCTAAGTCAGGTCGGGCTGATCGTACACATGTATTTGGTGCAGACACCCCCTGGGCACTGGGCTTGTAGATCTGGTGCTTACGTCGGCCGCGCGGCGTACAAAACAGTATCTTAGGCCAAGTCTTTGTCTGTGAAAATGTAAGAAAAGAGGCCGTGCAGTCCCACAGTCCCTCTGTATACCGAGTGCTGAGAAAGAAACCCGTTACTTCGGTACTTGCATTATTTTCACCCCAAATACACCAATTCTTACATTGTTTATCTGACATTTCCAACTCAGATTACTAGTACCTGCCGCGCCGTACGGAAGGATGCTGTTCAACCCCATTGTCGAATGGAATCGACCGCAAAGTGGGCGTGGCGCGGAATGCTGGTCACCCATTGGTCGCCGCTAGGCTATGTGGATGCGAAATTGATGTAGGCCACCCCCCCCCCCATCCTGGCAGGGATGTATAGAATACTATTGCACGTAAACTCGCTCGACATGGTGATGTGGGGAAATCAAGGACAGAAGGCAATTATAATATTGGTCACGGTGTGAAAAAATGATAATTTTG